CTATTCTACCATTTGTTTGTGAAGTTATTTTGTCATCTTAAGATTCTTGTTCAATAAACTGTTTAGCAGTTTACTACTTACTTGGGCAAGTATTTTTAATGCATACATATAATTATAAAAACAAAGAGGATACCTGCACTCTGGCCTTTTTTAAACAAAATGGAGGTTCTGTAGTTTTATTCCAATGGCCATTTAAATATAAGCTTGCCTGCCGTGTCAAGGCAAGCCCCAAAAGGTGAGTCCTACTCTAGCCATTAGATTTGCTGATACCAGCCAAGAATCTCCAATGAGACAGGAAGGGGTATTTTATAAACCCTTTCACATGTAACTCTTTGTAGGGCTTCTAAATAAATATAATTATGTTTACATCTCTTACCTTTAACCAAAGCTTCGGAGGCATAAATCCATATATCATATCAATAGTCCTACCATTCTACAGAAAAGAACAGTAGCGTAGTTCTTGCTTTCACACAAGAAGAGGCAACAGGGCTACACTATTCAGCACTGGTGCCTCTTAATCGGTTACAGAGGAACTCAAGGGCATCACCCAAAGTAAATTGAACAAAAACCTGACAAAGGTGTATCCTTACGCCGAAACGCGCATCGAGCGCTTTTGGTGCCGATGTTCTACATTTGATTTTAGGTTTTGGGAGAGTTAGTCTGCAAGAGGTTGTTTTATTTAACGTGGAAGTGGGGTTTACTAGGCAGGCTGCCTTGAAGCAGATACAGGAGATAGGGGCTTTGGGTATCGACCTAGCAGGCTGCCTTACAGTAGCATCAGGAGATAGGGGTTTTTGGAATCACCAATGGGTTAGTGACAGCCAGCGACTGTGTGACCAGATATTGGTATTTAACAAACTCCTATAACTTCTGTAATATAACGATTTGGCAGTTAGTACTTTGAAGCATTTGATGCTTATGTAACAGCTACAATATACAACAATCTGTATAGTCACTTGTGTGTAGTGATTCTAACACTTCAGCCCGTTTGGGCAGTACTGCCCCTAAATGCACTGTTTTTACACAAGCTCCTTTTTTTTCAACCATCCCCTCCTCTACTTTGTTTGGAGCTGGGTACATCGTGTCCACGCCATAGTGAAACCTTTGATTAATATGGTCTAATTAAGGGATGGACAAGAATACCTAAACTTTGTAAACTATGTATAAAGTCCACTTAGCAACACTATCTAATTAGAACAACTATGTATCCATTAGTGTGTGGTGGCTAATAGACTCCGTTTTACTGGAAGTTAGGTATCAATTCAAAAGTGATACAGTGTAGATCACTGTTTATTGTTGATTTGTCTGTCTGACCATATTCGGTTTATTCCTTAGTTTTGGTTCAATTCTTTACAACCTCTATACACTATAGCCACTAATTATTTGTAGCTTGATACTCTGGGGGTATCGATTTACTAAACTATTCGATTACTCAAATTTGAGAATACTTATAATAGCCATTAAAATCCTCTTACTACTTGAAGTGGCCATTAAGACTACGTTACCCAGAATTTTAAAGGTGTATTATCACTCTGTTTATTCACAATGTCACATTTGTTTGGGTTTTGGTTTTTCACATAGAACCTACTGTTCTAGTTAGGCTCTTTATATTTCAATATCCTAATATTCGGCTTTAATAAAGGTTTATACCACCTATACAAATTTTTACTTTTATATGAACTTCTTTTGGTGAAGTGGGAGTCCGCACACTTTAAGTGGGCGATCTTCCCATCCTGCTTTATTTTTCGTCTATACCAAAGACTTATACCATATTTATGGATACTTAATTTGTTTAGAGGTTCTTGTTTATGGAGGTGGGATTCCCCACATATTTGTGAGGAGTTATCCTGACTCCAATTAGTAGTTGAAGTTCTTGCTTGGTTGATCTCCTCATATCCAACTATCCAACCATCTTTGAAAAATCATTGAAAAATCAGTCAAAGGAAAGAATTACACCATATGGATAATACATTTAGCAAATTAAATGTATATATTTGAGTGGTTCACTGGCTTTGCATCTTTTCCTAAGTTGTGATTCATAGCTGTTGTATACAGCAAACACAGACTCTAAGGAACCATGTTTAACCCCTTAAGGACACATGAGATGTGTGACATGTCATGATTCCCTTTTATTACAGAAGTTTGGTCCTTAAGGGGTTAAGATGGAATGAGGCAAAAATGTGATTCCTTGTTGAGCTAATTTGCATGTGTCCTCCCAGAACCCTTTGCGGTAGTAACATCACTACAAACTTGTGATTTCTGTGGGAAAAGCAAGTCTTAGGGCTTTACTGGTGTGCAGATCTTTGTTTAACATTGTATTGACTATATATATATATATGTAATTTTTTTAAAGATTGTTTTAGAACCGGGAAAACCAAACGGGAAAACAAAAGCTAACACATTATTTTGTTTGAAACCTACAATAGGGAAGCATATCTTTCCTCTCTCCCCAGGTTTTATTTCACCACACTAAAGGGTAACCTTGTTTCACTGTATCTATTGCCATTTTAAAATAACCCCTTGACTTTTGACTATAAAAAAATCAAATTGGTAGCATTCTGTTGGATGATGTTGTTCTTACTGAATATATTATTTTAAGTAAGAAACTGTTTATTTTTCTATGTACATAAAACAATTACTGTAACATATTGTTTTCTACTATAATATGTTTCTTTATTCTTTAACCTCTTAAAGTAATTTGGGTATGCTATGCAATCCTACAAAAGTAGGGCTTTAATGCCCTTAGGGTAGCATAGCACTCCTTAATTATCGGGCCCTCCTGGGAGCGTAAATTTTTACCCTCCACAGTGAGGAAACTGCTTGACAACCTCGGCAGTTCCCCTACAGTAAATCCCGCCCATCACCATCATGTAATTGAGATGACACTGAGATGTGCATTGGCAGATTACATCATTGCTTGCAAGGGGACTGCCTGGTTTGTCAGGCAGATCCCCGACATAGAATTAATAAAAGAATACGATTACACACAAATAAAACAACTATAAACAGAGAATTATACATTATTAGTTTATGTTGATATTAATTCAACGTGCTTATCTATTATTTTTACACAATTATAGGATTTTACTAATTGTACATTGAGGGACCTGCCTGACAACCCACGTAAAAAGCCAAGAAAATTTAATTTGCAGGCCATATATTTGTATCTGTTACTTTCCAAAACTTTAACTTTCCAAAAAAATGTTTTACTTTTGCTAATGGTATGCCAAGATGGGGGTAATTCTCAATCCTTGGTTGCCATACAGTCTCAAAGGCAACCTAGGCCCAGCAAACCAATCTGGAAAATTTCAATGTGTAAAAACGGAAACAGGCAAGCGATTTATTTGACCCTGTAACTTTCCAAAACACCATGAAAATTGTACATGGGGGATACCAAACTTCTCGAGGGCTGCACCGTTTCTGTGGAACTCACTTCCCTCCTCTGTTAGATGCTCACCCAGTCTCCACTCCTTCAAAAAAATCACTAAAATCCCACTTCTTCATAAAAGTGTATCAATTAAACTGTCATTAGTCTAATACTATCCTTACCTTTTGTGCCACTTTATCCCACTACCTCTAGCATGTAAGCTCTGTTTGTCCAACTTGTCTGGTTACAACTACATGTCTGTTCGTCCACCCACTGTAAAGTGCTGCGGAATTTGTTGGCGCTATATAAATAATAACATAATAATAATAATAATAATAATAATACCACAGCATGTAAATATATGCGTTTTATTGCACTAAAAGTTAGCAGTATTATGACATTCACAGTAAAGTGCCATGCAGCACTTGTAAAATAACAACATTTGTTAATTAAATTATGTTTCATATATAAATATTTGATTTGAAAGCCCTATTTCTGCTGAACAAAATGATATATAATAAGTGTGAGTGTTCTTAATATAAAGAAGTAAAACTATGGTAGATCAAATTCTAGGTTTTTTTTATTGGTCAATTGCCTCTATCATTAAGGAATTAAATATTATACCAATCTACTGATGTAGACCTCTCAGTGTATGATTGCATAAAAGTATTTAAGTATTTATTTTGAAACAATATGCAAATGTTTCACTATCTCTTCGGTATACCCACTCTGCTGAGTGTATGCAATAGTTCATTAACTGTACATTTTTATGAGGTGTTTTCAGTATGACCTTCAAATAGCCCAGGTCATAAAGACTAAAGTGCCTTCTGATTTTTTTTATTTCTGGGAAAACAAGTATATAGCAAAGTATTTCAAAGAGAAATTGTATTAGAAAATGTTACAATCTTGAATTGAGTTTCAAGTGTGCTGAGAGCTGACATTGAGATCTAACGCTGCAATAGTTATTAATTTTTGTATATATGCCTGGCCTGTGTAACCTCTTCAGGAATATATTCCTTGTTTTGTTAGTTCTTAGTTGAGCTCTGAAAACATGAGGTAAATATAAGGTCTTAGGACTGTTATAATATTTTTATTTTAAATTTTTTGGGAACAAATATTCATAAATATGGTTGTCAATAAGCTTGCATAAATACAGGGATGTAAATCTATTACAGACATACTATTATTATTATTATGTTATTTATATAGTGCCAACAAATTCTGCATCGCTACAGTGGGTGGACGAACAAACATGTAGTTGTAACCAGACAAGTTGGACACACAGGAACAGGGGGGTTGAGGGCCCTGCTCAATGAGCTTATATGCTAGAGGTAGTGGGGTAAAGTGACATAAAAGGTAAGGATAGTATTAGACTAATGACAGTTTCAAGAGAGGAATCAGTCGGGAGCTATTAACAGTTTAATTGATACTCTTTTATGAAGAAGTGGGTTTTTAATGATTTTTTTAAAGGAGTGGAGACTGGGTGAATATCTAACGGAGTAGGGAAGTAAGTTCCACAGGAATGGTGCAGCCCTCGAGAAATCTTGAAGGAGAACATCAGAGGTGGGAGTACGGACAGAAGATAGACGTAAGTCTTCAGAAGAACGTAAGGGCCTAGTTGGGAGCATGTAAAATCACTGAGAAGCGGATTACAGTAGTCAAGACGAGAAAGGACAGTGTAATGGACCAGCACCTTAGTTGCATTTGGCGTTAAGTAGGGTTTGATGCACGCAATGTTTTTGAGATGGAAGCGGCAGGATTTGGCGTTAGACTATACATGAGGCATGAAGGAGGGGACAGAGTCAGAGAACACCTAGGCAGCCATCCTGCATGGTGGAGCTGATGTTAGCACCGTTGACTTGGAGGGATACAGACACAGGAGTAGCAACACTTGAGGGAGGAAAGACCAGAACTTCAGTTTTGGTCAAGTTGAGTTTAAGGAAGTGGGCAGCCATCCAGTTAGAAATAGCAGCGAGGCAGTCAGAGACACTAGTCAAGAGGGGCGGGAAGAAATCAGGAGAGGACAGATAGATTTGAGTGTCATCCACATAGAAATTATATTGGAAGCCAAAGGAGCTAATGAGTTTACCAAGGGAGGCAGTATATATGGAGAACAGTAGGGGACCAAGGACTGAACCTTGAGAGACACCAACAGAGTGGAGTTGGGGGGAAGAAGCAGAGCCAGAGAAAGAAACACTAAAAGAGTGCTGGGAGAGATAGCAGAAGCACCAGGAGAGAGCAAAATCTTGTAGACCGATATTGCGGAGGATGAAAAGAAGCTGTTGATGATCAACAGTGTCAAAAGCCGCAGAAAAGTCAAGGAGAATTAGGATAGAGTACTGACCACAAGATTTTGCAGCGAGTAGATCATTGGATACTTTGGTCAGTGCCATTTCCACACAGTGGTTTCACATAACACTGGGAATGCACAGCTTCCTAATATTTTTTTAATTCTTTTTGGTTTTTTTTTCTAACAATTGTATAAAATAATATTAAGCAAAATTCTAGAAATACCATATCAGTAGTAAAGTGTTTTAGTTGGCAGACAAAATTATCATTTGGTGCTTTTTTATTATAAAGTTGATTAAATTATAATAAAATTTTAAACTTTAAAACTACACTTGGAATCTATAAAACACTTTTGCTTACTTTGTTTTGTTGCTTTTCTAATACTGATTTAAAAAAAAAATATTTATATTTTCATGAAACCTTTTCATGAAGGCGTTCTCAGCCGTTGCATCCCCTCACCTCACTTCACCCCACTTAGCACTATGCACCCGAGGGGATTCTAATTTATTTTTTGTTTTTCACTTTTTATTGTTATTTTTTGGCAATGAGTAGCTTTATTTAGTATATAGCCTAAGCAGTATCCAGTACTATAGTGTAGACGGATGCAGACACCGATATCAAGCATAGCCTTAGCGCAGAACACCCATGAAGGTGTTTCAAGGAGTTTATAGGGAACTAGTCTAGCGGTGTCCATTATAGCAGCTCTGTTGAACTAGAGTATATTTAGCCTATTGGACTTTTAGATCGCTAATTGACCAGTTTCCCTTCTCCTACTACTCTGCGTTAGGGGTTGCTGCCTCCTTTGATGATTTGGGATTGCTATATACCTACCCCCTCTTACTAGTGGATAAAGGGAGGGGATTTAGTCTGCATCCCACTTAGTTACTGGATATAGATTTTTTTAGTTATCTTGGGGCATTATTTCGTTAATAAAGCTTTTTGACCTTATACTTATCAGTTTTTGCCACAAGATATTCATAGATCTATTTAGATCTGGATCGTTTACTGCTTATTTGTCTATATACTACTTCAGTTATTTCCAAGAGATATTGTATTTTTGGTGTATCCATCATTTATCAGCAATTGGAGGGACCTCCCTGTGGGAGCCCTCCATATTTAGTCTTTCCTATTATCTATATATTATTTCTGGGTACAAGCCCACATTGAGGTGGAGCTGATACCACCGTCCTGACCCATCTTTTTCCTGCCCCTGTTCCCAGTGTTTTTTTGCTGGTCAGGATAGTAGGAAAATTAATTTTCTCTTTAAAATTATTGATAAACAATTACTAAAATATCTTACTGTAAGTTCTCCAGTAATTCCAGTGTTGTACATCTTGCCCAAGATTCATAAGTCTTTAATCCACCGGGGAGACCGAGAGTGGCAGATATAGGGTCCCTCCTGTCACCCCTTGCAAAATTTCTCGATCAGTTATCGAGACCTTTTCTAAATCAAATAAAATCTTATGTGAGGGATACATTGGAAGTAATGGATAAAATTAAGGCGGTAAAAAATGTACATGATATAACATTGGTGACTTTTGATGTAAAATTCTCTATACCTCTATTCCCCACGAAGAGGGTTTAACAGCAATGGGTGAAGCCTTTGAAATATTAGGGTTTAAAGACCCCTCTTTGTCATTTTTGATACAGTTGCTTCAATTGGTTATGACGGAAAATAATTTCTCTTTTAGGGATGAGTTTTTTGTTCAAGTTAAGGGCACTTCGATGGGTTCTAATGTGGCCCCCACATATGCCGGCATATACATGGCCAAACTTGAGGAAAATGTAATATATTAAAAAATGAACTGTATAAAAAATATGTTGTAAGATGGTGGCGTTATATCGATGACGTGTTGGCATTGTGGTGTGGCCCATTGGAACCCCTTGAAGAATTTTTCCAATTTTTAAATAATTATTCTATTAGCATAAAATGTACTATGGAGATGGACCCTTGTTCTATATCTTTCCTTGATATTTCGATTTTTAATGGCGATGGGAAATTTGAGACAAATATCTATAGGAAACCTTTGGATAGAAACACAATACTACACTTTGATAGTTTCCATCCCACTTCAATGTTCAAATCTATATCTAGGAGTCAACTGATGAGGGTTTCAAAAACCGAGTATGGATGAACAGTTAGAACTGTTGATCAAGATGTTTTACGAGAGGGGTTACCCTTTATCTACTTTACAGACCCAACTAGATTATCTAAATAATAGGGATGAAAACCAGGATAGGACATTACCTAGGAAAGCTAAAATAGAGGATATAATTAAAATTGTATCTAGATACATTACATTGTCTACTGATTTAAAACATACTATAGACAGACATTGGCACATTTTATCAAATTGCCACCTGAACATTGTTGAATTTAAAAATAAACAAGCTCCATTGATAAGGGATAAGCTAGTAAAGGCTGAACTATCTATTCCTTCAAAATTGAATTTGAATAGAATTGGTAATTTGCCTTGTCTTAATTGTATATGTTGCAATTCCATGATAAAAGGTTCGACATTCACTCATCCCCATAAGGGAAATAAATACATAATTAAACAATTTGTTACATGTGATACCACGTATGTGGTTTATATTTTAAAATGCCCTTGTGGGTTGATTTACATAGGTCAGACAACCCAAAAAATGAAAGAGCGATTCTCTAAACATAAATCTACCATAAGGATGAAAATGCTGGAATTACCCATTCCAGCAATTTTTTTGGAAGCCCAACATAACATAACTCAACTTAAATTCCAAATCATCGAGCATGTAGAGGAAAGTTCTAGGCATGGGGATAGACATAAAATACTTTTATTTAGAGAAGCATATTGTATCAGAGAATTAGATTCCCTAACACCTAGGGGACTTAATCAAGAATATGACCTCAATCCGTATTTGATCTTTTTTGTTTTTAATATTTTGTATTAATTTTATTAATACATTCCTAATTTTATTTTTTTATTATTATTTTTTACAAATCTCAATTACAGATTATTATAGTCTGTGATGGTTGTTGCTGGGTTGCGAAGTATTGAGCACATATTAAACGTCTTCTCTCCTATTTGTCATTAATTCTTGTTTGGGGATGGCTTATACGTAACGTATTTAACATATTATTGAAAAACACAGAATATATTGTGCCAGTTATCCTGAATATGGGGGTACAGTTTTTTCTCTGTCTTATATCATAAGAAGTTTATCTAGAGAATATTTATAAAAGTTTTGAAAATATATGATTATATCATAGTAATACGTCCTTGATTATTGAATTTAATTGGGATAACTGTTCTAATAACTTGTTTCACATCTATTTCCATTAATAGTCAATGGAATTTATCATTAAATTGGATTAATTATTTTTATGGGTGTCAGTTAGTCACTATGGTCTACTATATCAACATTTAATACTGTCTTTATAAATGAGATGGTTCTATTTATCTTTACAGGCACCTTTTCAATAATTTTTTCAATAATTTTTTTAATATTTATTTTAATAATTATTTGAAAAATAATATAGGATCATATATTTATCACTATTGCATTTCATGCAAGTCACTTAAGATTCATTATGTTAATTTATTTTTATTTTTTATGTATGATTTATTCACTTTTTTATGAATAGTATCATTCACTGTTATATATTAAAACCATATACCTCTTAGGAGGATTTTATGCCATTGACATGACGGAGATAGATGTGAAAAAATATATTATGTTTGACAAATGTTCATGGATTGTTACCATTGAGCCACTGCTGTGTATTGTCATATTGTAACAGGATTTGCTTTAGCCTTACTTTAATTTCTTTGTGTGTATAGGAATTGCCAATTCTATAACTTGTAAATTAAAATAATTATAATTCTTGAAAGTATTAACTTTAGTTAGCCTTATTTGGCTTTCCTTTTAGTCCGTCTGAGTGGGCGTTCCCACCGGACTGGGATAGGTTGTCTGCGTTTAGTTGCGTGTGCACAGTTATTATTCTCCCTGTGTGTTCCGGGTCTTATGTTTTTGCCTATATAATAGGCGATTATATTGTGCATGTGCACTAACGATCACTCTAAAGACTTGATCACATGATCCGCGTCATTGGACGCGCTCTGCACGTCAGATGCGGTCATGTGATTGATTCCCTGCATCCAGACCGGACATACAGGTAGCTTTGTTTGAGCTATTTGATCTATTTAATTTAATTAAATCTATTACAATTATCTAGCCCTGTATATTATTAAATGAAATTATCTCATCAATTGAACAATTCAAGAACTTAATTCATTGGCTAGTTAATCCTGAGATATATGACATCTTTAGTAAGTGGAACATTCATTGGAGAGATGATTGTGTTTGACAATTGTTTTATGATGATCGATTGATTATATGATTAATTGATTATAATTATTCACATGTTTTATCACTTGTTTAATTATTTTGTGTACCTATATATTGTTTGTTAAGAGATGTGTTCACTAGCTTGATAAAGGCCCTAAGGGGTCAAAACGTTGTGTGGTTATTGGGTCCAATAAAAGTTGCCCATTGGTTTGGAACAATTTAGAGTGCCTGGATTATTTTTTACTATTATACCTTACTCTCCAAGACACATAATAATGAAGATTGTATTTGTAAATACAATAAGGTCCCTATATAATATATGATATAGTCAAGTATGATAGAACTTTAAACTGATCACATTTAACTTGAAAGAAAGAAGGAACAAAAATTCAACTTCAATAATTAGCTAAACCTTGACATCAATTATATTGCTACTTAAATAAATGTATCACTATTTTAGATTTGGTTTATTTTTTAATTTTAAAAGTTCAGGATTTAAAAAAAAAAAAAGGTAGACCATACATTTAAGAAAAGTTCACAAGAAGGTTTATGCATCTAGAATATATGATTCAGTAAGCATTTTCATATAAAGGGATTTTCATGGATTCAGACCACTAGCTTAATGTTGATATTCACGCTCTCTCAAGGCTTTTTCAAAAACTATACACCTTTTCCAGAAAATGGAAATTGTCTATTCCTGAGAGCTTGAGTTCCTAAAACACTGACAAGTTTCCTGAACTGTAGCTATAACACTCTAGTTATAAATCCTAAATAACATTATTGCTTCTGAAGCTTCTGAAGCTGATAAAATGAGTCTACATTTTTTTGCCTTCTCTTCATTCAAAGCATCTTGCCTTCTGCTAACTACATAAAACTACATAAAATAGCTTTATGTTAGCTTGGCTCCAGATTATGAGCCCCTGGATGAAAAATATAAAGGTCTCATTCATTGATGTTTCTAATGTTTCTTTTTACATGTACTATTACTTCAAATATTCCTCTGGCATGAAAGAAGTTAAGGAGGAAAATTAGCTCAGTTTTACTACCTGAAACCAATTACACTTAGAGAAGTTAAAGGCTTAGTCCAACCCTTTTTTTTTTTTTTTTTTTAAATGTAGTTTGCGGCATTTCTTTTAGCCCAACCCCTTCCTAAAAATGCTAAAAAAAATTAAAGTTTTATTTAGCTTTAATCCGGCACTGCTCACCACACAAATGTTCTAATTACCATACTCAATGATACTCATTTTATTGATCTCAGAATGAATAAAAACAGAGTTTAACACTTTTACTTTTAGTAACTATGTATAGTAGATGTGTATTAACAAGCAAAATCCCTGACCAAAAAGAAGACAAGAAGGTTCAGGGGACATAGCAGTCAGATTACTTCTGATAGAACTTGGGCCCCTCTATCTAGCTTTCTACTGCTTTCTGCAAACTCAATCTGCAAGTGTTCTACTGTAAAGATTACAGAGACTAACCTTTGTCACAATAATTGTTTATTTTGTATAGCACATCTAGGAAGCATAGGTGTGCCTTCATGTGATAATCCATGAGCAGAAACAATCTGTGGTAAACCCAAGAAGCATTGTGGGGGGTGGAGGTGCTGTGTGGGGGGAGTAGGGGTGCTGTGTGTGGGGGGTAGGGGTGCTGTGTGTGGGGGTAGTGGTGCTGTGTGTTGGGGGTAGACATGCTGTGTGTGGGGGGTTAACGGGGCAGTGTGTGGGGGGTTAGGGGTGCTGTGGGGGGGTTAGGGGTGCTGTGTGTGGGGAGGTTAGGGGGGCCTTGTGTGGGGGTTAGGGGTGCTGTATTATAAAAAAGTATATTAAATAAGTATCACCCCCCCTCCCTTCTACTTACTTTTGGTGAAGGGTGGGGGGGGGAGACAGCCATCCCTGGTGGTCCGGTGGTGGTAAGTATGTAACAGGGAAGCAGCGCTAC